CAGGTAGAAGGTTATGTTTTTAATGTTCTCTAAGATCTCAAGTGGTTTCACTGGAATGGACCCACTGAAATTAATCTGAAAAGAGGCATAAATCAGAATGCCTATTACTAGTTTTGGCTGGAAATAGTAATCCCAGGGACTTGGCATATTTTCAGGGTATTTTCTTCTCCTTCTTCTTCGTTTAATTAATTTTATTGGCACACTTTTGATATACATAAAGATCACATTAATCATAAGGAATTTGTACCTGTACATAATATATCTTGATTCTTCTTGACTTGATCTTAGCCAAAAGGCCGAGAAGTGATCTTGATTCTTCTTTTCTCCCTATTCTTCATCCCTCCCTTCAACCTTTTTTCCCCTCCTTATTTACAAAAGTTTTGTTTTCACTTTTTCCTTCTATTCTCTTTTTTCTTTACCTTTTCATTGCTCTCCTCTCTCTCATTCCTCTTCCCATTTGAACATTTTCTTCCTATTTCCCAACATCTATCATCCATTTTGGTCCTTATTTGTAGTTTTGGTTTCTCACACAAGAGAAACAATGTGACATTTAAACATGTGTGCCTGAGTTAAAAGTTAAATAGAGACTTATGGTCTCAAAGTGCATCCATTTACCTAAAAATGCCTCAAGTCCATCCTTCTTTATGGTGCAGTAGTACTCCATTGTATATAAAAACTATATTTTCTTTATCCACTCATCTAATGATAGGCATCTGGGCTGTTGGTGGGAGTGTAAATTGGCTCAACCAATATGGAAATCAGTGTGGAAATTCCTCAAAAAACTAAAACTAGAGGTTCCATTTGACCCAGTTATCCCCCTTAGTGAAAGTTAAAAGTATCATACCACAATGATATATGCACACCCATATTTATAGCAACACAGTTTGTAGTAGCTAAATCTTGGAAACAGGGCATTCTCTTCTTGAAGGTTTATTTATATTGAAAGTTCCACCTACTCAGAAGGTGTTTGATTAACTTGTAATCAAATTGGGGGTGTGAGTGTGACAACCTCAGATGCTAGCTTTGCTGAGCTGTTTCCTGTATCAGAGTTGGGGCAAACAACTGATGTGTTAGTGAGTCTCGATGCCTCTGAAGTACCCTTACATCTAGCTTTACTCTTTTGCTCCCATTTTTAGATTCCTTTTATTATCAGGGTCTCTTTCTCCTGGATATACAGGTAGTCTGCAACATCAGACATCTTATTTACGATCATACTGAGTCTTCTCAGCTTCAATTAAGTAGAGGGACCAGAGCTTAAGGGAGTTTATAATCAATACTTTCATCTGTCACTAAGTTGCTGTGTAATGTTGGGCTAATACTTTACTTCTTGTGATACAATTACATCAGCTGACAATACCTGGGTCTGCTTGGGGATGAGGATGGGGTGAGGTGATGTGTGTAACAGACCTGCTACTTGGTAATGGTCATGTTAATTCCCCTTTCTTTCTTGTGTTCCTGAGTTTGTCAACCTCTATCTATAGTTCCTCTTGTAGAGCAGGTCATTGCTAGAAATGGCCAGCCTTACTGACTACACAACAACATCCATAGAATTGCTTTAAATTTTATAGGTCTCTTGCTCTTATCCCTATTCAGTTTCTTGCCCCCATGGAAGCTCTTTTCACTGTCTTCATTGAAATTGTTAATAAATAGGGATTAAATTTCAGAACATTTAAGAGCATATCTTTAGTTGGTATCTTTTTTTTCTTTTTTGGTACCGGGGATCAAACTCGGGTCCTTGCGCTTGCACAGCAGGCGGCGAAACTACTGAGCTAAATCCCTGGCCCAAGAGCATATCTTTAAATGGGGGGTAGGATGCTGTCCTAAAAACATTTTAAAATTCATGACTCAAGTTTCATTTTTATAGGGGTTTTTAAGATATATTATTTAAGGTAGATGGAAGTGTAATTATTTTCTTTGGTTGAGTGGTAACTCAATAATATTTAAGAGAATAGTTTTATATGAGAATTAAACTAAAAATTCATTTTTGCAGTAACACATTATTGTGAAACACCAATAAAATTTAATCATTTTGATTACAAAATGCTTTATATGTAGATTAATTCAAAAGCATTTTTACATGTTTATGTACATATTCTCTTATCTTTTACTATTTTTCTTCACTACGTTTTATTGAAAAGCTACTGTGTGTCAAGAAATATTAGGCTTTTAAAAACTCAGATGGAAGGCCTGGGATTTAGCTCAATGGCACCACGCCTGCCTCGGAAGTGCAAGGTCCTTGGTACCTTTGTTTGATCCCCGGTACCAAAGGGAAAAAAAAAATTGACAGATGGTAATTGTGGATTTTTAAGGATGTTTTAATACATATATACACTATATAATGTTCAGATGAGATCAGGCGTGTTCAGGGTGGTATGTCCATAGACCACAGAATATAATGTTCAAATCAGGGTAAATGTATCTATCTCCTGAGAGATTTTGCATTTCTTTGTGGTAAAAGCATGCAAAATTCTTCCTCTTAGCTTTTGTGAAACATGTTCCTTCTTGTGGCCGTTTTTAATTTTTAATTTTATTTTATTTATTTTATTTTTTTTTAGTTTTTAATTTTTTGGTAAGGTATTTTAAAGCATTTTGTTTTAGAAGATTCTGGTTTTAATTATTGTTCATGAGGAAATTTTCAAACATACTACAACTATTAAGTGAATAGCATACCTCCACGTATCTGTCACTAAATTTCAATAATTGACATTTTTGGCTGATCATGCATCCTCTATTCTCCTACACTATTTCTACCCTATTATTTCATAGTAAATTTCAGATATCAGTTATACCAGAAATATTTTAGTTTGTATCTAAAAATAAATACTTAAAAATGACCAAGCTATCATTATTAAATCTAGAAAGATCATAATAATTTCTAAATATCAAATAGCCAATCAGTGTTTCAATTCCTCTGATTGACTTATAAATTTATTTTATTTTTAGTTTGTTGTACTCAGAATACAAATAAAAGCCATAAATTGTAATTAATTGAAATGTCTCAAGTCTTTTCTTTACATAGGTTCTGCTCTATTGCTTTCACTTTTTTCCTTAAAATTTTGTTGTTAAAGACACTAGATCATTTGTCTATCACTAGATTCTCCTAATTGCATCCCTGTGGTTTTAGCAGGTTTATTTTTCCTCTATATTTCCTATAAATTGGCAGTTACATCCAGGGGTTTGGTCAGATTTAAGTTTAATTCTTTTGAGCAAGACTACTTCACAGGCAGTGAGCCCAGGTGTATTCCTTCAGAATATACATAATATCTGGCTATTATTTATGATACTGGTAATATTTGGAGACTGCTAAACCTATTTATTATGGTTTTCAAAATCTTCATTTTGAAGTTTTTACTTTTCATAAAATCAGTTTTATCAATTTGTTATTTTTATGGACCACCACTTTTGGTGTAATAGCTGAGAAATCTGCCTAATACAAGGTCACAAAGATTTTTGCTTATGTTTTCTTCTCGAGGTTTTAGTTTTAAGTTTTATGTTTAGTTTTTTGGATCCTTTTAAAATTTCTTTGAAAACCATTTATTATCAGAGTTGCATTAAGTAGAACTTTTTACATGACAAAATGTTTAATTTTCTACTCTTGATAATACAAAATTTCAGCAAATGCAAATGGCATTGCATAAACAATTCCATAAAAAGTTAAAAGTAAATGTTTTAATTTTAAATGACTCTTGCAGAAAACTCTTCATTTATATATTTAATGCTGAATTTTTAAAAGGGAATATCCTGTATTTTGTAGACACTAAAAAGCCCAAGAATTTTAAAATGAATTACAAATACTGTCTCTTATTCTGCTATACTGTACAAGTATCAGCACAACAATAGCATTTATAAAGATGTTCACTAATATTTCTAAATACTTTTTACAACTGCCAATCTTTTTTTTTCCCCATTAAGTTTATTGGTACATTTTTGGTATAAAATACAGTTACATTCATCATTGGGATCTTGTACCTGTGCGTGAGTATCTTGGTTCTTATTTTTTTTCCCCTTCCCTTGCCCTCTCTTCACCCCCTCCACCCTTCCCTATTTGCAAAGACCTTGTTTCCACTTTTTTCCTCTTCTCATATTTTTTTCTTTTCCTTTTTTCCCTTCCCCTACCCTTCCCAATTCCCCTGGTCTTTTAGACCTTTTCTTCCTGTTACACAATATCAGTTATACATTTTTAAAATTACAATATTAAGATCTAGGAGACATTAACACAGATTTTACAGAATTTAAAAGGATATAGAAAGCATATTACAAAAATCTTTTTTGAAATAAACTTGCCAATGTTTTTTATTGTGGTAAAATGTACAGCATATGTATAAAATTTACTATTTTAACCTTTTTAAGTGTATGGTTCAATGGCATTAATATATTTGCATTGTCATGTTCTGATTGTTTGCATCAATATTTGTGTATGGTGAGAGGAATGGATTGACATGAATTGCTTTTGTATATTGACATCAGTTGTTCCAGAGCCATTTGTTGATGAGACTATCCTTTTCTCACTGAGTTGCTTTTGTCAAAAATCATTTGTCTATATATGTGTAGGTCTATTTATGGATTCTCTGTTCTAGTCCACTGATCTATTTGTCACTCTAGACCAGTACCACACTGTTTCAATTACTATATCTTTATTAGAAGTCTTGAACTCAGACTGCAACTTTAGACTTATTTTTTCAAGATCACATGCCAGCATCTGAAGAAGGCCTTCTTACCTCATCCTCATGAAGCAGAAGGTGGCAGGGCAAAAAGGGTTGAATGCTGTGTCCCCATGTGGCAGAAGAGAAGGAACTCATTTCTACAGTCTTTTTTTATAGTGATATTAACACTTTCCAACACTGTTGTGTTGAGGATTAACTTTCAACACATAAATTTTGAAGGAACACATCCAAACAATGGAAGTCCATTTTATCTAACTTGTCAGCTTATACACATTATAATGTTTATATTACAAATATATTATCCTTCTAATACCTTTAGAATTTCTGGTAAGTTACCTTTCTCATTCTCCACATTGGTAATTTGTGTCTTCTCTTTTTTTCTTTCTGGCCTTTTAACTTCTGAGAATATGAAGGTCTCTGGCCTCGATGAGGATATTATCTCTGAGCTGTGGTCTCTGGCTAGACATAAACCATATGCAAATTTCTTTACCAGGTTCCTTGGATCCCTAGCGTGCTCATACATAAAGTCTATACCACTGAAATTTTGAATGTGAGGAGAGGGACATAGTTTCTTCCATCAGAGTCTCCTCACAACCTAGTAATAGAGATTTATCAGTCTTTGGAGTGATACATACAGATAAATACATACAAATAGCCCAGATAATCCACACTACTGCTTAATGATTAACTTTAAAACTTATTTAATGCATAGATTGCTGAACTCTGCTCCTAGAGAATTGTTATTCATTAAGTCTGGGTTGAGGCCAAGAAATCTGTATTTTCACAAGTCTCCCAGTGATTCTGATGTAAGACTAGGACAGATAGGATTGAGAGCCACTCAAGCAGATGACCCTATAAAGTTTCTTTCACTCCTGAGCCCACCTAGGATTAGAAGTATTGGATGGGCACGTGCTGCCCTCTAGTGCCACTGGCTGCCATCTACCAATGCCCACTACACTGGTGCACAATGCCCCGATGTACTTGTGATGGTGGTCTTGCTACCTGACACTACTCTAAGGCTTCTTGTCCAACTTCTAGAAATTTTGGCTCTTTGGCATCAGCAAAGATGTTCATGTATAAAAGTGTTGTTGTGGAATGGCATACATTATGCATCTTTGTCCCCAACATATTGGTACATCTTAACCTGCTCCATGTATTGTCTGAGTATGAAACACAGTGAAACCTTCCAAAGGCTGGTGTGGAGATACAAGACTCACATCAGTGGCATTTCAGGATTTTTCCTTGCAAGGCTATATGACACATAACATTTATGAATCAGTAGCCACAAACAGTTTCAATAAATTCAATAACAATAATTGTGGACTGCAGCACTCTAATGGAAGCAGGGTCTGGCTTTGAACAAGTTGCCTAGAAACAAATAAATAAGAACCCTTTACAGGTGAGTAGTTCACAGAGGCTTTTCATGTACTTCATTTCTTTTGCCTGCTGATCAAGCATTGAGGCAGGAAGGGCAAAGGTGATGGATGGTCTGTACCTACATCAATAAAAATGACAGGCTGAGCAGTGTTCATCACGTGAGTGTGCCCCTACTTAGAAAGACTCTGATTCCAGGGTCCTGTCCATGTCCATGTAGGCACTTTCTGCCAATGAGGACCAGATCAGTAAACAAACCTATATTAAAGGCTCTTCTGAAAAAAATGCAAAACATTTTTTGGGTTTAGCAAGCATCTCTAACTCCTCAGCTCTGAGACAGGAGCAAGGGCTGGGCAAGCTGCTGGAGAGGAGTTTGTAGCAGAAGGTTTTAACAGTTTAGTACGATGACAGTGGCTGTGTTATTTGTAAGGTAGACAGCACACTGTTTGGCAGGAGCAAGGTTTTCTATGTTCTTTTGTCTGGGACCAGAGGCCAGGTGATGGAAGATAGAACTGTCAGCAGCAGCCTAGAGGGCAGCAGAAGCCACTACAACTAAGAGTTGGCTGGCTGGGAGTAAATGTAATATAGCCAGGTACCTACAATTCCAGCACTGAGGAAGCTGAGGTAGGAGGATCTTTTGAGTCCAGGAGTTGGAGACCAGCCTAGGCAACATGGTAAGATACTATCTTTTTTTATTAAAACAATATAGATTGAGTATCCTTTATCTGAAACGTTGAGACCAGAAGTATTTTGGGCTCCAGATTTTTTTTCTTTTTGGAATGTTTTCACATACATAATGAGGTGTCTAGAGAATAGGACCAAAGCCTAAACATGAAATTCACTTGTGTTGCATATCCACCTTTTACACATAGTCTGAAGATTATTTTTTTACAACATTTTTAGTGTGATTGTGTTTTGACTGTGGCATGTCATATGAGGTCAGGTGTGGAATTTCCCACATGTGGAATCACTTTGGCAACTCAAAAATTTTCAGATTTTGAAGCATTTGGAGTTTTATATTAGGGATAGTCAACCTATAAAAGATACAAGCTACTGTGTAGTTACTAGTTACTGCTACTGAAAAGCTGACACAAGCTGCTTTTTTACTTGACTTTCAGTAACCTGGTATCCAGTGCTCTTTGGTTGAGTAGGTCTTAGTATTCCTGAATTTTGAAACTTTCATGTTCAGAGAAAAAAGGTTGAAGTGGCTCCAAATCATCCCATCTTCATGCGGGGCTTTCCTTAAATTATTTCTAATATACAGATCTATTTTGTTTTTGTAACTATACAAAGGATATTTAAGAAAAATACTCCATAATCCATTTCTTTGTGAAATAATTTTCAAAATATTCTTCCTTATAGCTAGCAAAAATGGCCATGTTCATGATTTGTTGGTTGCTTGGTTTTAGTTGTGTTAAGATGTACTTAAGGGCCAGGGATTTAGCTCAGTGGCTCCACCGCCTGCCTCGAAAGCGCAAGGTCCTGAGTTTGATCACCGGTACCAAAACAAAACAAAAAAAGAGATATACTTAATATAAAATTTACCATTTTACTCTCTTTTCTATGGGTCTGAGGATTGAACCTAGGGCCTTGCACGCCCTAGGCAAGTGCTCTATCACTGAGCTACATCCTCAGCCCCATTTTAACTTTACAGTTCAGTGGCATGAAGGCCACTTACAGTGTTGGGAAATCATTACCACTATTCACATCCAGAATATATTCATCACCCCAAATAGAAATTCTGTATCCATTAAACATCAAGTCCTATTTCCCCCTCCCTCAGCCCCTGGTAAGGATAGCTCTTGATTCATGTGAATTAGTCTAACCTTCAAAACTATCTTTTTTAAGTGTCTTAATAGCAGCCAACACAACTCAGATATCTCTCTACCTTTAACACTGTCCAATTCAGAGCTGAGCACATATTCAGTACTCACCATGCCTGTTTGAGGAAGGCTGGAGGCCAGAGGAAGGCTAAATGGCCTTTTCAGAGATGTGGGACCTATGACCACTCATTAATCAGGTAAGAACTTCTCAAGGAAATTGAGAAAACTTGAAGCGTTGGAGGCATTCTATCATGTTGTAAGAGGCCATGAAGTTAACATTAATGTCTGAATCAGTGGATTACCACAAGAATGGTAAGTATTGGTGTTGAATGGGGGGAAGTCATACTTAAAGACAGATTTCCATAAAACACTCTTTCAGCCAAACATTCCAGCCATGGTGGATTCAACCAAAGAGCCACAAGTTTGTGGCCCTTAATCAAAAGTCTTTCCAAATATCCTATGTCTATAAATAAGCCATATGTAAGAAGAACTGTAGAGACAGTTCTGGAAAATGGAGCCTTAGAGCTCTGGAAGTGAGCCTCATTCACGTGCCTCCATGGAAAGTAGTGATTACAATCTCTTCCCACCAATTTCAACTAGATCACACAGTAAGGAGAAGTCTTCTTTAATTCTCACAAATATTTAAAAGGACATCAGCAGCTTTGTGCTTTCCTTAACACATCTTACATGATCCTCTTCCTGAACCTCTCAATACTAACCATTCATCATTGCCTGTGATATCAAAAACCATATAATGCCTGCTTTATCTTCCTTTTTTTTTTTTTTTTTTGGTATCAGGGATCGAACTCAGGTCTTTGCACTTGCAAGGCAGGCAGCGGCACCACTGAGCTAAATCCCCAGCTTTCTTCTTCATATCTCTTAGCTAACTTACTAATAGAGATGATGTACTTCATGGATTTCCTCTGACTTAGGCACTATCTCAAACTCCACACAGTGTACACAGACACAGTTATCTGGGGGAATAAGTGCCAGTGTTGTAGTAATAGAGAGAGGTGAGCTATTGGGATCAAGGAGTAGAAAGAGCTGGAAAGGGTATATGTTGCCTGTTACCTGGGCATCTTTTATGCCAGGCTCTGCAGCCTACAGAGACAACCAGAAATCCTCATCTGAACAAGTGAATTACCCACATGTACTTCTCTAAGACAAATAAAACTCTGTGATGCTATGCCTGCTTTGTGGAACAGGAGGGCTTTGTGATGTAGTTTAGTTGTCTGCATCCATCATCTGTGAGGCAGATGACAAGGTCTAGAACCTGGAGGCATTAGATTCCAAGACTTAGAAGCCTAGGAAAAGGGATGGCTAGTGAGGTTTAGATCATGTTGAGCCCTGCCTTTCTTCTGTGGGATGCAGACTATCCCTTGTATACCTATGGATCCATCTTAATTATTGTATTAATTATTTGGCAAGTGAAAAAAAGGAGGAAAAAATTAATGTTGAGATCTAGCAAGAGCTGTTGTCAGGTAGGGAAACACTATTACCATGACTGAATGATAAGCTTCCAGTAAGATTTTATTCCTTCACTTTCTGCTGATGTCCTTACCCTTCTCCTCCTCTCCGCTCTCCTCCGCTTCTCTCCTCTCCTTTCCCTTTCCTTTCTCTTTTCTTTTTCACTGGGGATTAAATCCAGGGCCTTTGCAGAGAGCTACATCCCAGCCTTTTCTTTTTTTATTTTGAGACAGGGTCCCACTAAGTCACTAAGTTGCTCAGGGAATCACTTTGCCTTAACCTCCCAGAGTGCTGAGATTACACGTGCCACCACACTCGGCTTCTTTATTTTTTTAGTGGGGGGTGTGTGTCTTCATTGAGTCCCAGAACAGCTCCTAGTTTGAGTCATTATCCGGGACCAAAGTGGAATCATCCCATCCTCTAAAAAGGACAGGGTATAAAAAGGGTAAAAAAGTATAAAATTGGAATAGAAAAAAAGATTGGGAAATTTCTATGGGTTTTGTATCATTTTAGACATGAAAGAAAATGGTGACTCAGCTTCATATTCTAATGCTTTTGTCTTTAAGCATCATCAAAGAGTCAAACACAGGTCTAGAGAGAGAACATCAAGAGGTAAAGTTTAAATCTTTCCTCTGACCCCCTTCCACTGTGAATGAGGCTCTCGTAGATACTGACAGGACCCTGAAAGTGGTGCCAGAACTCAGGTACTCTAACTACTGAAGACTTTAATAAGCCCAAAGATAACTCCTATCAAAAGACTTACCTGGGTAGGAAATCAGAGGCTAGGAACTTTCCAAATTTCTCTATCTTACCTTCTTGGGAATGAAGAATGAGGAAGTAGAGCAGATGTTATAATTGTAATTTTCTAGTTTTATAACCCCTTGGAAGTCACTTCTTCTCAGTCTTGCTCTCCATAAGATGGGCATAGTGCCAGTGATCCTGCCTCACACCCAGTGAGTGTATTGTAAAGATCAAGTGAGATTAGATGTGGACAATACATTGTAAAAGGTTAATGGTATATAGAGCATTAATTAATTGGTAACATAGAGTTATCATGGGTTTCCACTCTCTTCTCATTCAAAGTCCTTCAGGTTATCTATAGGATGTCCCTGAGTCACTTTTGTCTATTTACCACAGTCTCTTGGTTCCCCAGCTAAGAGAACCTCCCAGAAAGAAGCTGAGAAGCTGCAGAAGTTACTGTCTATCATGAAAAGGTGATTTCTTGCTCTCTAGTCTCCCAGCTCCAAGCCTGTCCTATGATTTCTTGTCTTGATCCTGGGTCAGGAATGAGAAGTGGGGTTAATGGCTGGAAGGGAGGCATAAACGTGGCTGGAGGCTGTTTTGGTGATTGAGTTGTCAGGGCACTGGGTAGTTCAGACGTCTCAAGAGGGAAGAATCACTCAATTCTGCACTGGGCTAGGGTCATGGTAGTTCTATAATTCAAGATTCTATCTGTGGATGATTAATAAGAGACACCACATGGGCTGCATTCAGCCATAAGGTAAATTATCCAGTCAGGAGAATGGATTTTGGCCGGGTAGTATGATGGTGCACACCTGTAATTCCAGCATTCTGGGAGGATCACAAGTTTGAGCCTCCCCAGGGGGGCAACTTAGTGAGATCCTGTCTCAAAAAAAATTGTTAAACTGGGGAAGGGATGTAACTCAGTGCAAAGGACCTGGGTTTAATCCCCAGTACCCTCTCCCCCCTCAAAAGAATGTATTTTTCATGAAGAAATCATCATCATCATATTCTCTTTACAGGTACAGACGTTCAAGGGAAGAGTCCTGGGTCTGGCTGGACCCTGTTGATGTTACCTCCTCTGGTCTGTCTTCTGGGAGGCCAGTTCCAGGGACACCCCCACACAGCAACTGGTCATCCTATCTTCTTCTCCTCAAGATTTCTAGAGAATGGGACTGACTCCCATTTGTGGGAGGGATGCTGAGTGTCGTGGCAGGGATATCCCATATTTCTCAGAATTAAGGGTTTCCACAAGGACCTCAGTTTTCACAGAGTATGTAGGCCCAGAACTTGTGGGACTTGGGATGAGAGGCAGTAATCCCCAGGCCACATTCTTCCAAAGAGGGAGATTCTCCCACTGTTAATGGTTTCCATCTTTCCCTTTCCAGTCACGGGTGGCTTCCCCAGGAAGGACATGTGCTTCGGCTTCTGTGTGCAGATCCATCCTGCCAAATCTGCAATGCTATGGCTCTGGAGATTCAGCAGATGCTTGTAGGTAAAAACAACCAGATCTCCCCCACTTTATCAAAGCCATCACAGGGCTCTTCTTGTCTAGGGATGTTGTCCACATCAAGTGTATCTTTTGAACAGTCAGAAGCTGGGTTCCCAGAACTCCAGAGAGCTTTTACTGACAACTCACCCCACACTGTCACAATTAACGGATCAGAAATCTTTAACTCAGTCAGCTGCCCCGTCAGCTGGTGGAGTAAGCATCCAAGATTACTGGTCTGATTACCTCCAGCCAAGACAGGAATTTCAAGTACCACATATGTTCCAAGATGCAAGAGCTCGCTCTTCTTCAAGCCTTGAAGTATCTGGGAGTCCTGTGAACTGGAAAGAGAAGACAAAGAGCAAGTCAACCCTTGCCCTGATGAACCAAGGTAAGCACCACTTGAATAGTAAACTCCCTTTCTTTCCCTGGATCCCAGCTCCTGAGCCTAAAACAACACTTTACAATCTTGCATTCCCTTCACCTTCTGTACCTATGTCCAAAAGGCCCTGAGATACCTTTAAGTAGAAAGATATAAATGCATGTTTTTCCACATTGAGGGCTCCCGTGATCTGTGGGGAGTTCCTGTGGCAGCTTATACTACACTATTCCCAATAGTTTCAAAGCCTGGAAAACAAACATGCATTTCTTTCATCCTGAATGCTACCTCTAAGGCCTCTGTTGAGAAGATGGGGCTTTCTTCTCCTTGACCCTGGTTAATGGAAGCCAGCCTGCACACCACAGAGCAGAAATATCATTGTGACTAAATCCCACACCCCATCCCATGGTTTTGACTCTACTGTCTTCCACCTATCTGCTTTTAAATAGCATTTGTCTATTCTCTGGGGGAACATACTGAGGCTCCAATGTACTATCTCTAGGTAACTTTCTGTAAATTCTTTCTTCTGTGCAATTAGTTTTTGGTCTGTCTCTATAGATTGCTCTACAAAAGGGCAACCTAGGCCATTTTTCTTCAATAATTCTTCCTTAATCTCTGCATTGCTTCAAATTTTCTCCACTTAAATTAGCCTCAGATTCTTTCCCACATTTCCAAACTTGGACTTCTCTACCTGACCATTGATAAGCCTCGATCAATGTCTGTCACTTGAGACTCTGGCCAAATGTGAAGCTTTAGTGTAGCACCTGCTATAGAGACAGCTCCAGCTCCAGTGGGGTCTGCCAGCTATTGCCCAGAATTCTCTATAGATGCAGAGGACCACACAATATAAACCCTGAGACAATGTTGCAACCTGTCCAATCAGACCTAGGGCCCTCCCTGATTAGGAGATCCCATTTCAATCCTCAGAATAGTAACAGCATTGCCCTGGAACATACTCAAAGGCTGCTGGAGTTCAACTTCTGGAAGTGGAGGAAATATTGAGGTTGATTTACCATTGCTGGAGCTGCCCCCAAAGATTCAGCAGTTTCTCCTGTCCCTTGCTTCAACCAGCTCTTGCCTTGGCTCAGCACAACCCTGACCGGTACAAGTCTCCCCCATCCTGGCCCCAGAGGACAGTGAGGTTAGTGACCATACTGATCAATTGTGGCAACACTGCTAGTCCATAGCTGCTTTCTCAGCCCAAAGCAACGTTGCAGAGCCACACAGATCACAAATGTGGGAAGATCTGCTGGGGCACTATCCTTGCCCACAGCTGTAGTTGCTAGAACTTCTAATTATTGGGTCTATAGCATTCCTGGGGTCCTGGCAGCAACTTGGTTCTCCCGTCCTCTGGAAAGCAAGCCCCTAGACCTGGAGGAAAAATCAGGTCACATACATGTCAGGAAGTGACTCCCTAAATACTTACAGGCCTTGGCCAGCAGCAATAGATCTCACCAGACTCTTCAACTGATGACCCTGAGCTGCCTGTGCCCTGGTTCCAAGAAATCATTGAGAAAGCAGAGACAAGTTTGCATTCCTGTCAGGAGTGCCTGTTCCTTTTTTTGTGGCTCTCTCTGGGCTATAGAACCAGCAATCATCAACCAAGCTGTAGTCACAAAAATGGTGCCTGGGCCCATCATAACCTCTGACTAAATCTTATCTGAACAGCAGGTATTAAGTCCTAGGTCATACTTTCAAGGTGATAATGAACCTTTTGAAGACAGTGTACAAGTATTCAAGCCTGAAGTGTAAGTGAATGGAGACGGTGACTTGAGTGAGACAGATCCCATCAACCCTTAATCATCCAAGGCACCTATTTTGCCCAAACTCAATTTTATCATGAAAAAGAAATTCCTGGAGGTACATTTGGGAAGTTCCATAAAGACAAAGGTATACAGGGAACAAATCTTGGCCATCCAAAGAATATCTCCACAGGGAGAACCTTTAGGATCTCAACAGACAAAGGAAAACATTGCCTCAGGAACTCCCTACCCTACCAGGTATTCCATGTGTCCCAGATACAGAATGGGTCTGCTTAAAAGAAGAGTTTATATATGAACCAAAGATAGTTCAGGAGAATCAAAGGCAACCTAGTTCCAAAGAAGTATCCCATGGTTCTACCCAGTGCATCTCTGAGAGCTCACAACCCACTGGAGACAGGACAGAGGCTCAAGTACTTTGTGTATAACTAGAGGCTAAAGTGAAAAACCTAGCCTGGATGATTCCTGGACCCCTTAGCCCATGCCTTTGCATTGTTGAAAACAAGTCTTTACCCTAACAGAGAAAACAAAGGACCCTGGAAATTTCAAAGCAGCTGAGAATCACGAGGTATAGCCTTGGAGCTTTCCCTGACCAGTGAACACCCACTGTGCCAAGGTTTGGGGGCGAATAGAGGACTTCTAAGCAGAACCATAGAGCCCTCACTTCACAAATGCATCTCCAGGATCTTTATCACATAGAACTTTAGTTTAGCTGACATGGTTGCCTTGCATGAGTAGAGACTGACAAGAATTTGTCTTGATCTGTAGAATCACCATCTCCATCCTCTCAGCTTGCTATTCCATGCCAGCATCTTCACCAGCTGCTCCATTATCTTGTATTCCCAGAGCATCCTCTATGATGCTTTGGGCCCAGAAGAGATCTGCAAGACTGTTAGACTAAACTGAATAATCTTACTGAAACAAGAATGCCTGAGAATGCCAAACTTGACAGGACTTGAAGGTCAGACCCTAGAGTGTCAACTTATTGGACTATCATTTACTAGGCCAAATTTTGCAAGTCCAGTATTTGAAAAGACCACATCTTTCAAATCTAAACTTTTCAGGGACAGATGTTTCAGGGCCATGTTTTATAGGGGAGATCTTGGTGGGGCAAAAATTTGGGGGGCCATGAGTTGGAGAATCTGGTAAGGGGATCCCATACTCACAAGAGCTTCACCCTTTCAGGTGCTCCAGAAGTTGACTTGGGAAAAACAATGACATTCTTTTTGCACTGGATTAACCCTGAAGTGAAAGGTCAAAGCCACGAGGAACCCATTCTCCACTCTAAATCCAAGACAGTGGCCAAATCCAGGACAAAAGAGGTTAAGAAGGTTCCAACCCCCACCAAAGACCATGTCAGGGGAGCTAACTTGAAGATGACAACAAAGGACCCTGTGGCCCAGCCTTTTCATACTGAGAAGGAGCACTTGACTTTTTTTTGATGCCCAGAGTCCCTACATAGACAGCTCCAGCAACACTCCCTCCAGTCCAGCCAATCCTGGGGCCTGCGCCACTCCCACAGCTGCTTCAAAACCTCACCTCAACTGACTCATGCTACCCAACCAAGAAATATATCCTAGGTCTCAAGTCTCATGTCAGCAGAAGAATGCACTGGTTTACATAAGGAGAATACTCATTCCAAACAAAGGGCGTTTGTAGGTTCCCAAAACTGCATCCTCCATGGAAAAGGCTGTATATAGCCATTTTCATTAACATGAAAGTGAGGCATGGCATTCTCTAAATATACTCTATACCTGTAAGCAAAGAACCATTTGTTCATGTCTCCTTTTCATCAGGGTGTATGTGATGGCAAGAATAGAAGGAGTAGAAATTATCTCCCATGTAATATAGGAGCTTAAACCCAAATTTTATTTCAGATAGGTCAGCATTCTACGTGCTCCTCCTAGCCCTACCCTAGGCTATAAATAAAGGGACCTGAGCAGAGAAGGAAGCCCCTTGTTTAAGATGCACTGAAGGAAAAGGTCAGGCTTGAATTCAGTTATGATTTTCCATGTTGTACTTGGGTCCTCATTTCCTCAAGGAGGTGTTTTTGTGTTTATGCAAAGCACACAGCTAGGGGCAGGGGATTTAGCTTAGTGGTTCTGCCACCTGCTTTGCAGATGCAAGGTCCCGAATTCGATCCCTGGTACAAAAAAATAAATAAATAAAAGCACACAGCTAGTATGGTAAATTTAAAAACCTTGTCTTTTCCCTGTTTTATTGAGATCTTTAAGGGTAACCCCTCAGGAAGCCTGATGTTGCCCTCTTGCCTCTCCAACCCCCATTATCTTCCAACTGTATGGAATGAAGCCCTCCTAGAATGAAGATTAACTACTGAGACATACCCAAAAGATAACAGTAAAAATGATGTTGTGCTAAATCCTGAATTCAGAAATTCAAATATTTAAATATTTACCATTTCTAGGCATTATTCCAAACACTTGGGAGACAACAGTGACCAACAGACAAGTCTTCGTCTGGAATTCATAGAATCTAAGGCACACAATAAAATCTGAAGCAATATGACAAGAGTTGGTTAGAGGAAATAGGTGTAAGTACATAGGACCACACTCAGCCTAGTTTGGGGGGCTGGGGTTATTCATGGAAAAAATCCTGAAAGAAGTGATGTGTAGTCTTAATTTGCAAATTGAAAGGGACAAAGACTTGAAAGAAGCAGGGAAGTAGAGCAGGAGTAGAGGATAAAAAAGAAGGAATTAAAATGTGTTTTGTATTGTACCAACTCCTCACAGTAAATGTAATTATTTACTGAAAACATGTACTAACAAAAAATACAAAAATTTTAATTAAGAAAAAGGATGACCAGGAATTAGCCAGGGGAGGTGAGGGGTAGATGAACTTCCCCAGGCTATGAGCAAAAGTATAGTGTCAAACAAGTCGCATCCTGTGTCAGAGAATGGTGACTCACAGGTTCACTCAGTATAACTCCCTGTTATATTGAAGTCTCTGTACAATCAAAAGACTATACTAAAATGTTTATAGGATCAAAATAAAGTAGCCAAGCTAGAGAATGAATGGTAGTCATTTACCCACTCTTTCATTCTTTCATTCCTTCAACAAATATATATATATATATTGCCCAGGCTGGCCTCAAACTTGCAATCCTCCTACCTCAGCTTCTTGAGTGCTGAGATTACAAGTGTGTACCACCATGCCAAGCTTATCAAGCACTTTCATAGGCATTTGGAATGCAGCAGTGAACCAAAAAGGGGAAAAAAATTCTCCCAGGGAGTTTATATTGGGAATGTGCTTAGAAGGGAGAGAAAAAAATATAGGTAAAAAATATAGTATGTAGTAGGAATATGCAAAGAATCAGGGTGAGGGTTTAGGGAAGACTTGAGTGGGAGTACAGTTTTAAATAGAGAGTTCAGAGAAGTCTCACCCAAAAATTAACATGAGCAAGGACTACAAGTAGATGGAGATAATAAGTCACATGGATAACTGAGGAAGAGGAATATCTGAGTAATTATCAGTCAGGAATTATAGCTAGTCCAGATGTTTTGAGGGTGGAATATGCCTACCATATTAGATGAATAATAAGACCAGTAAGCCTAAGGCAGAGTAGTCAAGGGAGAAAGTAGTCAAGGATGATGCAAAAGCAGTTAGGGGCCAGATGGTATAAGGTCTTGTAGGTCAATGTAAGGATGCTGGATCCTAAGCAATAGCAGGGGCTTGAGATAGAGCAACAAAACAGGGTTGGCATCCTAGAAATCAGTGTGGACAAGGGAAAATTTGGAAGTGAATGGGAGGAGAGCCTTGGAAAGCAGTAAGACAAAGAGGGTGCCCTGAGTGGATGGAAAGGACTTATATTTGGCCACCTAATATCCCATAGAAGATGGCATCTCTGTATCCTCTTTCCAACAGATGATCCAAGAGCTACCATAATGGCAGGAAGTGCTGCGCTTCCTTAATATGGTTCCTGGTTCCTGAGGAAATCCAGAATCAGTCAGCATTCCATCAAGCCAGGAGAAACTTGTGGTCAGACTCACTTCTTCCTCTGATAGAACCCCACTGTTCAGTAGAGTGTGTTCACTGAAAGTAGGCTGCAGAAAGCCCAGATGGAAAAAAGCATGCCCCGTAGCCACCCCCCCACACACACACAAAGATGATTCTGTGCCTAATAGAAGCCTAGCCCCTAGCTGGCTTCCAGGGCAGAGAGACATAAGGCCCAGGCCTGCTGAGCCAGCATTCTCCAGGTGTTTTCCTGAAATATCCCTAAAGATCAAAGGAGGTCTTGTGACAGGCATATCCTCCCTACCTAGTGGGAGTTGGGCAGACAGCCACAAGTGAGGAGACCAGGAGGCCCAATATGAAGGGAATTGACTCAGAAGAGTCAATGGCATCAGGTAGGAAACTGGGTTTGTGTGCACACATCCTAGTTTAGGGTGGATCAGGTCTTTCCCATGACCCCACAGCCTGTCTACACCAACAGATTTCTATCATGGCAATTTCAGGCAACTGACTTCCATGATTGTTCAACTTTTCACCTGCTCACTCCACCCTAGCAGGGAAGTCATGGAACATGCTAAGCATGGGCATGAATATGTGAGACATAATCTTGCTTTATTCAGTCTTGTCATGCCAGTCTCTTGCCAGCCTGGGCCAAAGACTCCTTGAGTAGGGGCAGAAAATCTATGTCTTATTCAAAATCTTAGCTTCTTGCAGATCCTCAGACTCAGATGCTGTTATCTCCACTTTTCCTCTCAAATTTTAGTCTCTTTCCTTTGCAGGCTTGGTGTAAAATATCCCTTGCCCCTAAATTCCCATATCCTCCTAATCTCATCTTTCAACATCCTCAACTTATCCTTTTGCTAAACTTCCTACTGCCATCCTATACTTGTCCTTGTCAGTCTAGGCTGCATACCTGGAAAGATGTTAATAATGTAGTAATAAACATGGTAGTTTAAAAAGAAAGTTACCAAAATATTCATAGTATGGTCTTTTATTAACTTTTTTTTTCAGAGCAGTTTTCAGTTGCAGAAAAACTGAATGGAAAGTACAAATAATTTCCACTGAAATTCTTTTCCTGCCCCTGAACAAAATACAGTCTCCCTCTTATTAACAGTTTGCATTAGTGTAGTTTTTTGTTACAATTGAGGAACTAATATTGATACACTATTAATCACTAAAGTCCATCATGGACATTAGAGTTCGCTTGTTTTTAAAGGCCACTCACTATATTGATCTAAAATTTTTTTACAAGAACAATGACTATTCTGCCAAAATAGGAGCCAAATGGCATCAAAGAGACTAGATGCAAAGGTGACGGCGAGGGAAGGTGCAGGAATCCACTCAGGAAAGCTGGTAATTATAACCATAGAACTTTCAGAGAAAAAAAGAAGGGAGATGTGTGCAAGAATAAGAATTCCAAAAAGAGGGCAAGGATTTAGCTCAGTGGTTCCACCACCTGCCTCAAAAGTGCAAGGTCCTGAGTTTGATCCCCGGTACTGAAAAAAAAAAAGAATCCAAAAAGACTGAAATGGTGAGGGAAGAGAAATTCCAAAAGAACCTGGAGTAAGCCAGTGGTGAGTACAACAAGCTTTTCCTTTGTACAGGACAAGAAGGACCCCCAACTCAGCTGCAGACTCTGGAGATTCAGTGCTGGGCTGGTGACTGAGTACCTGCCATGGAGCATCACAAGGAAGCATCGCACCACTCTCAAACATACAAAGCAGTCTCAAGACTGCTTAACATTGGTGCCACATGTGTCCTTCCACCATTCCCAGTAGAGGTCTTCATCTTTCTTTAGCACCAGGAGCTGGCCAAGAACCACAGAGGCCTTGTGTAATCCCCTTTCCTCCAGTTTCTTGCTCAAGACTTCACCAATGCTGGCCAGGCTCCCCACTATCTTCCTCCAGGGGCTCTGCCAGGAAATGTTAGTGCTTTGGGGAGGTTCTCACTTTAATTAGGCTTAATTAGCAGCTCCAGGTCCCATAATGGCTCCTCCTACTGTGCAACCTTTACTCCTTGCTGATCAGAGTTCCTTGTTTGTGTTATGTATTCTATGGGTTTTGACCAATGTATAATAATATGTATCCACCATTACAATATCATACAAAATAATTTCACTGCCCTAAAAGTCCCATTTCCCCCACCTATCCACTCCTCTCCCCCTCCCTTCCCACTAACCCCTAGAAATTATTGATTTTTTAAAAATTGAGCTACATAGGAAGTTTGAGGCTAGCCTGGGCTACATAGCAAGATCCTATCTTTAAAAATTCAAAAAACAAAAAGTGATAATAACATGAAGTGCACCATTTTAATCATTTTAAAGTGTATAATTCAGTAGCATTAAATACATTCACAATGTTATGTTATATTCACCCCTATCTATTATCAGAACTTAAAGTATCCCAAAGAGAAATTCAGTACCTATTAAACAATAAGTTACCTGGATGTAGCTTAGTGATAGTACACTCCCCTAAACAATAAGTTACCATTTCTCCTCTTTAACTCCTGACAACTTTTATTCTCTGTCTCTACGAATTTGCCTATTCTAGTGTCTCATATAAATGAAATCATATAAGATGTGTCTTTTAGTGTCTGGCTTATTTTGCTTAGCATGATTTCAAGATTTAGACATGTTGTGGTAGAATTTCATTTCCTTTTATGTCTAAATAATATTCTTTTGTATGTATATACTATATTTTTGTTTACTCATTAATCTGTTGATGGACATTTGGGTTGTTTCCCTACCTTTTGACTCTGGTGAATAATGCTACTGCTAACACTGGTGTGCAAGGTATCTGTTTCTACTTTCTTTTCCTTTGGGTATATAATGAGGAGTAAAATTGCTGGATCATTATAGCAATTCTATCTTTGACTTTAGAAGAATTGCCAAACCCTTACACAGCAGCTGCCCCATTTTCACAGCAGCTGCTCCGTTTTACCACCAGCGTACGGCACCAGCAATGCATCAGAGTTCTGGTTTGTCCTTATTCTCCTCAACACTTGTGTGTGTGTTTTTAATAATAGCCATCCTAATGGGTATGAAGTGGCATCTCATTGTGGTTTTGATTTGCATTTCTTTAATAACTAATGATGTTGCGCATCTTTTCATGTGTTTATTGACCACTTATATCTCTTTTTTGGGAAACAAATTATACAAAT